TATATATACGAACAAAAAAGGAAAATTGAAAATTTAACTGGAAGCTGGAAGTTTTAAAAATAAAATAAAAAAGTGTAACTGAAAAAGTAGAGCGCTTCGTAATGACGCGCTAATGATTCTACCATCGCAAACGATGAATATTATACGAGAGACTTTCCACCTCCGGTCGAAATTCTGTTCGAACGATTCTGTAGAACTGAAGTGGTAGCAACGAGGCTCAGAGAGGCCGAAACTTAAGATGGTAAATTGCCGAAATTACCGTGAGGATCAAAGGGGCCATTAAAGTTTCCGCCCGATTAATCGATCGCGCGGCACATCTCGAAGGACGAAAGCGCAGGTGTGCAGGATAGAGGTATTATATCGAAATTACGGTTGTGCAATTCGCGAAGACTTCGAGATAAATCTCGCTGAATTGGAAATAAGACTAGCGTGTTCTCGAGGATCATGGCAAAAAAAAAAGTTTCCTGAAACAGAGGGATGTAGTTTAAAAATTCAAGCGGGTACGTTCGTTGCTTAATCCACGACAAGCGTTCCGTAAAAGTTTGCAGCGCATCTGAAACGCGGGCGGATTAAGCCAATATAAATTAAATTATGGAAATCGTTCTGGCGTGCTGGCTGCGGGGTTGAATTTTCACTTCGCGATATACAAGACTTTGAGTGGATGAAAACGAATATTTTTTTAATCTCCACTTTTTGTTGCGGAGTACGTCGAACGATTAAATCTTCATTAATCATACATTTATCTAAAAAATATATCTACTTGCATCTTGCCGAAATGTTATGCATGGAACAATGCATGGCTCGATTCGAATGCCAATTTCGTTAATTGATACACTCTAGAAATATAAAGAATTTACAATTGAAACGCAATAAAATAACATTCCATTGCTAAATGAAACGAAGCTGCACACCATAAACACAAATCAAAAGAGCGATGTAAAATTTCGACGAAAGCTTTTCTTGAAGCTTTCCTAGAAACGCTTCAAGAGAAAATGCGCCAGTCAGGAGATCAATTAATCAGTGCCGAGATCACAAGAGCGTATGGAAGGTTTTCCACGTGGAGGACAAGCGAAATCTCGAATATGCATTTCGCACGAAATTGGCGAATTGCAAGGTTCAGCTCTCTGCCCGACACAAGGGAGGAAAGTTTGGAGTGAAGAGTTAAGGATGGAAAGTTGAGTGGAGCCGAAGCAAATGGATGGCGTACCGCCCTCATGGAAGAATCATGAGACTATTCCCCGCCACTCGTGTCTTACGGAAAACTTGCGTTCTCGTACGGAAAAGCCGCGCGACCTGATTGAAAGGATTCGCGTATAGAGTAGCTCGGCTCGTGAATTCCAGCAGAGGCGTACACTCAACCGGAAAACGTTTCGATGACGACAATACTTTTGTTATAAACGTATATAGAAATTCAATAAGCAGCTGTAGCTATAAGAACTTATTTGTAGTTGAGATAACATACGGTGTAAAAACGAAAAGAGACTTTCGACTTTTTATGCACTGGGCAATACGTTATTTTCATCTTTTGCTTATCAGCATAAAACTTTTGCTTCTGGTTGAAGAGAAAATGGCTTCTGATAATAAACCACGGCTCGTTATGCATGTGCAGACTCTCAGAAATAAAAAGTGTTGACAACAAAGAGTTCTACAAATAGCCTAGATTTCGCAATCGGTTGGCCGGTCTCGTTTAGGTTCTTTATTTGCTCGGTAAATCCTGCTGGAAAACTACAGGTGTAGCGCGGATTAGCAAATCGATAGACACTCGAGAAACGTACCGTAACTATCGAGTCTTTCGTGTTGCAACTCGCCACTCCATTTCGGGATAATTCCCGTTAAAACTATACTCGATTTGCGAAATCGTTGTAAAATGTAACAATAATAAAACAAACTGTAGAAATTTTGAGAATTGTAAATGTAGACGTATACACATTTTTGTACAATTTATATAAGTGTAAATATACACTTTTTTTTATACATCTGTATTGATAAAATAATTTACCTTAAAATTGTTTTGGATGTGCTTTTAATAAATACTAATTTGACAAAACATGATTTGTCTCTTTCTTGAAATATTTGATATACTGCATATGTGATCTCGCTGCAACTCTATTATTTCACAAAGGTACAAGTGGTACGCGCGAAAGATATACACAATTTTTTAACAATCGTACGTATGTGTTAGTTCTGTAGATTGTAGCAACGTTAGCGACGTCATGCATGAATCCGAAAACAATGCGAATCTTCACCTCCATTGATGATTGTTGATCGAACGTGGTCGGTGTGGAAACTAACAAACGGATACCGCGGCCATTAGCTGATGAGGGCATCGTAGTTCATTGAGCCCTACGAACTGAGATCGGAAATTACGATGTATAAAGGAGAAAAAGCTAGTTGGAGAGGAACATAGGGAAAATAACAGATCCTTTCAAATGCTAAACGACCTATCGCGATAGTGTAACTATGTTGTGCATATTTATAGTCACGAAGAAACTCAGCTAAACACCTCTTTTAAAATGTAATACAAGTTGAATGGATATACCTCGAGACTTCATTAGATATTCATTATGTTTGATTTATTGTAATCTTGAAGGACTTGAATAATGAACCTGAAATTCCATGTGAATTACTTCACACAGTTGATGTTAAAATTAAATAATTCAGAAAATTCATTTCCTGCACTTTTTTTGAACTACCAAGGAAAAATGTTTTTCTGTTGGTTAATCTCATACACATCTTAATATCTTAATTTTAATTCTTTTTCTCTCTTATTTTAAAGCGAATTTCATTTTGAGGAGTGAAATCGCATTCTTGAAGATTGAAAATTGAGCTATTCTTTTTCAAAACTCACAATTTTCACTGTTTAGAGTGAGATACCAAAGATTATACCAAAGAATGTAGAGACTGATTTATTTTCTATTAGATTAATAAACAATTTTGCATAAAAAAAATTAACACTAATAAAAATCTCATATTGTATTTAAAGAAAATTTAGAAAGTTTATCTTAAGAACAGCAACTCTTGTGCGGAAGTTACTAAATATGATAATTTATACAATTAATATTATCCAATTGATAGCAACTTGAATACTAAACGCAGCACCGTATGTGATAAAAAATATATATAAATCACTATAATATTTTATTTTCGTTGATTAATAAAAATATCAGTATACATGTTTCATACAGCAGATGTTCAATGTTTTTTATTTCAATTAAAAAAATTTTTCAGTAAACCGATTAACGCTTAAACCTGTACGCTCATATTTTCACGTATGTAGGCAGTGTATATCATTTTGTAGAAATTCTACTAATAAACTATTAAAAGTACTAGTAAACTATTAGCTGTGTCTATATACGATCAATATTATTGATGCATATCGTGTAAATAATACTCATATCGTGCAGATATAATATTGACACGATCAATAATTGTAATTGCGCAATATGAAGTTACTGTAATTTCATCAATCGCTTAGGGATTATTTTACAGAATTTTGGCTTTATTTTTATATAATAATTTTATATAATAGTTCTTAATAAATTAAAAATAAATAGTTCGGATCGCGTTGAGCCAAAGAAATAACAATAAATTGAGACGCCAATTTAAAACGCTAAGATAAAAGATAAAATCTTTTTATTTAAATAATTTTGCATAAAAAAAATTAGCACTAATAAAAATCTCATTATATTGTATTTAAAGAAAATTTAGGAAAATTTAGAAAGTTTATCTTAAGAACAACAACTCTTATGCGGAAGTTATTAAATTTTTTGCTCACACGAGCAATCTTTCACGTAGTAGACGTGACAAGCATGATGCTGGACGCACATTAGAGAGTAAGGAACGATCGTATCGTTAAGATGAAGTAGTTACATCAGCGATTCTCGATGAACCAAGTAGTAATGTAAAAAGAGCAAAAATCTTGATAACAATCTTCGTCGACTAGTGTTTTTCGTCCGTTCAATTAGTTTGATCAAAAAAACGAGAGATTCATATTAATTAAGTCAAATACATTTGATAGCGAATCAATGAAGATGTGCAATCTAAAAATCTTTGATTTTCTATTTTGTTTCTAAATCCGTATATTTTTTTTATTTAAAATACAATTTTAAATACAATTTTAAACTTCTTCTGATTTCGAAAAAAAGAATATACTTATAATGGAGAATACATTCAAAAATATATTTGTAAAAAATGTATTGTTTCTTGGGACGAGAAATATCATAGCTTGGAAAATTAATTTTCCAAGCTATTTCTCGTATAACAAAACGCAAAATTTAATTGAATCTGTAAAATTATAATTAACAAACAATATTTTGGTGATACCGAAGTTTGAATTTTGTCAAAACTAAATGAGTCATTATTTCCGAGAAATTTTCTTTGTTTTGTTTATTATAATTTCCTTAAAAAATTATACTGTTACACAAAAAGAACAATTTTGCTGAAATATCTAAAAATTTAGTTAGATACAGATATAAAGATAATTTCGTATTTTGAGGGATCAAAATAATTATTTAATATAGAATGTTTAAACTGATGGCCAAAATGTTAAACTTTTTGTTATTACTGAAGTTCAACAAAATTATTTTCAGAACTGTATCTAACTAAATGTTTTGAGCAACAAAATCCCCTTTCCTTTCTCAAGCAAAATAAAAAAATGTTATATCGAGAAGAAAAAAACGATAAATATCGTATTGCGATGAGAAGAAAAACCGATCATGCGCAATTTCGCACGGCAGAACACATGTGGGAAACTCGGAATACACGTGTGACATTTTCGAATGATTCGCCAATCCCTTATATTTTAGATATTGACTTGGAAAGCTTCGTGCGAGTGAAAATCATCAATTTATACAGAATACAGTACAATGGAGACCAAACAGGTTTTTCTAAAAAC